AGTAGTGGCTCTCTTTTTATTACCCTTCCATTAAGCCCAGATTTGGGTGAATGATCTAAAATTTGAATGTCTCCAAAGTAATCCTGAGGATCTTGGCTGCTTAGATGAACGGCCATGCCTCAATGGGATTACAGTCGATAAAACAGAGTTCTTTAAGTGGTTCAAAGCTTTGGATCTCATCCTGTAAGCTAACCCTGCTGTATACTTCACCGCAACCTGATCTTTCTCATGCGTTCCTTGGTCTTCATGAAGACGTTTGCTTACTAATGTCCTCAAAGCAAGTGCTGCATCCAATTTATTTGGGTCCTGCACATGTGGCTTTGTGTGTACTAATCAAATGATCTTGTAATGAGAAGCACAGTAACTTCCTGATGGATGATAACCACCAGCCACTGCTTCACCAGCGAGTTGCCCCATATGGACCAGTAGCAGTCGAGTTGTTTTTTTCTCTCGTTTTTATAGAAAATTTTTATTCAACATACATTTTCCAGCAAAAAGGCAATATACAGGAATAGTTGTCGTACACTGCTGCTACACTGATGATTTTCAACCGGAAAAGATCAAATCAAGGTGATTCTGCAGGTCATCTTTGTACGCAAGGTTTTTAAACAAGACAAACCACTGCAGTTAAGTTTTTCCAAGAAAAAAATCTGTAGGTAACAGAAAAAGAAAAAAAAAGTTGTCAATGGTACATCAGGAACAAAGGAAAAAAAAAAAGAAAAAAAATCTACACACAAGAAATATGAACACCTGGCTCCTTCTGTACCCAACAAGAAAAGGCGTTTCTCTTAAATTTTACACGTTCATATTTTTTAAATATACAATTCTTAAATGTCGTCTTTACAGAGCCAGCTATGCGTTTTTAAGGGGTGCATTCCATCTGTGCTTAAAAATAATAAAAAGAGACAGGAGGGGCGGGGATTCAGAGGGCTTAAAGTGTTTCTTACAATGCTGGTTTTGGCTCTACACAATCCTCAAACTTGAAGGGACTGCAGCTCGACCAAGCACGATGCAGTTCCTGCTTTCAACCACCAGAGGGCAACAGAGTCGAGAGAGAAGATGAGGGAGAGCGGGGAGGGAGAGAGGAAGGAAGTGTGTGCGTGTTTGTGTTTCGAGGAATGAGTGACAAAATATTAAAGGGGAGGGGCGTGGAGGGCAAAAGGGTTTGTGCACGTGTGATTTGAGATGTTACAAAAAGCTGACGGTCCTGAGAAAGCTGCGACAGTAAGTGCCAACTCTCAAGATTAAAGAGACAATTCTGGTTTTTCTCCATTTATTTTCAACAGATGCCGTTTTGCAGATTTTCTTTTTTTAAGTTTTATTATACAAGATCTGCAAAAAAAATAACAGATTTACTGTCCTCCAACCAAACTAAGTGAGAAAGAATTGTGTAAACTTGGAAATACTGTTTTTTTTTTCTTTTTTGTTGCACTATAGGATGGGAGAAGGAACTATCACGAAGCTCTGAGCAAACATCTTTTCATCTAATTCAATACATAGCGGTGCAGTTCCTCTCCAAGCAACTTCATTTAAAACAACCCTCCTTAGCCCAAAGGAAAAAAAAAAAAAACAGAAGTGGGGAGAAAAGACGTAGTTTCCGCTTTTCAAATTCATTTTAAAACCCAATTTTACATCTCCCACTTCAAGACAGGCAACAAAAAGCAGGCAGTGAACAGGTAGAAAAGCCGAACAGCCTCAAACGTAAAAGGAGACAGTTAAAAAAAAAAAAAAAAAAACAGGGGGGAAAAAAAAAAAAAAAAAAAAAAATTAAAAAAAAAAAATAAAGGTTCAGGGGGTTTTGGGCGCAGTTTATTTTCCTT